CACCAATCCCAAGTGGAAGGCAGAAGACATGGCAGCAGAACAGAAGAGTGCAAGGTGAGTGCAGAGAGACAAATGGAGAATATCAAACACAGTGCTCTAAGAGTCATCACTAGAAAGATAATAACATGCAGGTATACAGCATATATAATTTGGCTAGGATATTGTAAAAAAATCACAAACCCAAAGATCCACTTTTAAGGAATATGTGTTGAAAACCATTCATCTACAAATATTTAAAAGCATTTTACATGACATTTTACCAGAAAATTTAAATATAAAGAGGTATCTTACAGAATTCCTGCTCTAAAATTAACTTTGTAGAAAAACAATATCAAAGCAAAAAGACCCATAAAAAGCAGCATATGTGTTATTCTAGTCCATTTGTCTTAATATTAAAAAAACAGCACAGACTAGGTAACTCATAAACAATAGAAGTTTATTTCTCACAATTCTGGAGGCTAGGAAAGATCAAGGCACTACCAGCAAGCAGGTCTGGTGTCTGGTGAAGGCTGCTTTCTGTGCTACAAGATGGTTTCTTATTTCTGTGTCCTTCACAGGGGCAAATGTGCTCACATGGCAGAAGATAAAAAGAGCTTAAATTAGCTCCCTCCATTCCTTTCATAAGGCCCTAATCCATTCATGAAGGTGAAGCTATCATTACTTTCCAAATGGACCCACCTCAATTCTACCACAATGGGGATTACATTTTAACATGAATTTCGCAGGGGACGTGTTCAAATCAGAGCATGTGTCACATTCATTTATAAACAAAGACATGCAGGAATTTAGATGAAAATGAAAAAGGCAATAAATATAGGTATGGGTTGACAACAGTCTTTTCATACATATACAGTTATAGTGGCCACACTGACTTGGTGACTCAAATAAAAATATGTGGAGACTTTACTGTAAACTCATCTCTTCATCATGTGTTTTCTTGATTATTTGAACAATAATTTTGTCCTGAAACATGTTGATTACTATCACTCCAAAGCACTTGGTGAGCATATACCACTTTTAGAAGTGCTCTCATTTAAGAAAAAAAAAAGGGGGGGTGCTCTCATTAAAAAATTCACTACCAAGTCTATTCATGTATATGTCATATAGTTTATTTTCTTAAGTATTCTGTTCTTACATATCTATACACATTTTCTTATAAATCAAGCCACATTAGATAAAACATCCTCAGGTGAAGAATGGGTGGAGATGTATGTAGTCCATGGGATCTAGCAAATAACCAGAAGTTGTAATGATTAAAGAAGAAAATCTCAGCTGTCACTGCTGTGGTAGTGGCTTTAACAGAGCCTTTAATATCTTAATCCCTGAATTACTTTTTACATCTTTTTACAATTTGCTAAATAAAATTCTTTCACTTGAATTCTTGTCTCATTGTGTGCTTCTGTAAAACTCAAACTCAACAAGCTCCTTCCAGCTTTTGCCCACTTCTTGTTTCCCTTTGCAAACAAATTTCCTGGGAAGAGTTGGCTCTACGCATCATTTCCAACTCCACTCTTCTCATCCCCTCATCCTGTCAGACTTTCACCACACCACTACACAGTAACTGCTCCTGTTAAGATCATCAATAACTGCATACTGCTCAATTCAGCAGTCAATTCCTAGGAATCATTTTACATGACACATTAGCAGCATCGGCACAATTCTGATTATTCTCTTCTGCATTTGGATCACAACTCACTTTTTCAATGAGGGCTACCCTGCTTTATTTTTCAAAAAATGTAACCAAGTTATGATTAGATCTAAAATGCCCACCAAAAGCCTTGTGTTTAGAGGTGGGACTTTTGGAAGATGATTGAATTGCAGCACTGCTATAATCATCAGAGGATTAATCCTTTGATGAATTCATAGCTCAATGTGCTGTTAGCAGGTGGGGCCTGGCTGAAGATAGATCACCGGTACCATGACCCAGAAGGGTATTCTTGTCCCTGGCCCCTCCTCTCTTCACCCCCTACTTGAAGCTAGCCAACCATGGACTAAGGCGTAAGAAGTCTCCTCTCCTTTAAGCTGTGGTTGTTAGGTATTTTTTCCCAGTGTTGGAAAAATGACTGACACAAACTCCTTCCCAGTCTCAGTACTTTTAATCTCCTTATCTTACTCCATTTAAAAAAAATTTATCTTCTAACACATCATATAGAAAACTTATTGGTTATTATCTGCATCCTTCCTCTAGAAACAAGTCTTGTAAAAGTAAGGAATATGTCTATGCATCATTGCTGATACGCATTGTTCCATACATCTAAGAGCAGGTGGGACCAAATATATGTTCCTCCAAGCTACACAGAAGGAAACAGGATAAATAAAATACTAATGGTGGCAGGTCTCAAAAATTACCAAATTAATTCCCATGATAAAGGAGGGTGCTAAATATGCAAAGAGATAATTAAAACAGAAAGTAAAAGAAAACAGTGATTTAAAAGAAATATAAACATGTACAGAATATACCCAAAAAACAAGTGGAAATCACAAAGCAAAATCAACTCTCTCCCAGTTCACAACAGATAAATTTTTTAAAGTGATTCTGAAACTATAAATAGTACTGATAATAACAGAATGAGAGAGCCAGGGATTTAGCTCAGCGGCACCATGCCTGCCTCGTAAGCACAATCCTGAGTTCAATCCTCGGTGCCACAAAAAACAAATAAAATAAAAGAATGGTATAAGGTATATCAAGAAAAGACTATTGTGGGCTTGATATGAGAGGCGCTAGAATCCAGATCATCAAACATTAAACTAGAAAATCACTTTGCAACATTAAGTATACAATACACAATAAACACAAAATAGTTAATATCCACAACAGCAATGTTCACGAAGCATTAATTCCAGAACGCACACGAATAGGCAGGGACAGACTACCACTTTATGATTTTAATTCATCTTTCAGAGAAGGATCAAGTACAAAAAGTACTACAAGACCTAAACAATATAAACAATAAATTAGATGTGTGTGTGTGTGTGTATATATGTTCATCTTTAATAGGTATTTGTATTTAATCTCGTGGTATTAAATGTTTTAGTTTCTATTCTATTTCCTATGCAATATTATGAAAATTAAGCAACAAAGAAAATTTTAGTGTTTTTTAAAAGCAGAAATATCTACAACATTCCTTGAACCCTATAATAAAACCAAAAATTAATAACATCTTTAAAAAAGTACTTCTACATAGAAAATTTATAATCTTTATTTAATTCTTAGCTCCTTGCTTAAAATCAGAATAACTCAGCCATGTTTGCTTCCGTGTTATAAGCTTATGGTCACAAAAATGTTTGCAATCAAGCTTATTCAACAAAGGATTGCTTACTAACCATTGCACTTCAACATGTTCTCAACAGAAATTCTCTTTTGATTACTTGTAGATTACTTCTATTTTCTCAGTAAATAAAATCATTGGTTGGAAGTGATGATAGAGAAGGAAGCACTGATAATTTGAGGAAAAGGAAAATGTATGAAATATTTAGGAGGCATAGGAAGACAGACCAAGCTTGACCTTCAGGGGTTCCAGACATAACTGAAGGTCAATTTGAGATTGGTGATTATGAATTTAAGCTTGGAAATTAGCGCAGCAAACAAAACAGAATAAGAGACAGTGGGAAGTGATAAGAGATTCAATGGCTAACAGCAGTGGAAAAGTTAAAGAACTGTCAAAGTGTGAATATTATTATTAGCTGGAAATATTAGTGGACTTGGAAATAAGACACTGTACTTGAAATAGACATTACAGAATTCATTGCTGATACTAGAATGACAAGATCAATAGTATGTTAATGAAAAAGAATTGATCACATAGGATGGAAAACAAGATCTTTGGTAGAGAAATAAGAAATAAAGAGATCAAGTATAAAAAGCATTTATATGGATATTTAAATCATGAAAATAGTTGACTGATATATATTAGACAGAATGACAGTAAGCCAGCAGCTAAATTATTCAAAAAGTAAAACAGTAACATGAAAAGGAAAAGATAAGCACAAGACAGTAAGGTAATAAAAGGTAGCACCTGACAATATAAGAATCAAACTGAGGTGGAACTTTACATAGTCCTCCATAGCTAAGAAGGCGGGGGGGACAATAAAGAGTAAGAAGGAGATATATTCCACTTCAACCCAGCTCCATCAAGGATGCGGAAATGAAAACAGTCATTCCTTCAATGACTATACAGGGGAACCATGAAGGGAGTCTTTCTCTGAGCACACATACATTCTTCTGTTGTTACTAATGATAATCCGAAATGAATTTTCTCCCAAAGACTGTGCAAGGACTCTAAACAGCTACATACAGTTGAACACACAAGAGCCAAAAGCTTGAGTTCAAAACACTGTAAGAGCCAGAAATGGAATATGTTCTTGACTTTAGCAATTCTAAGACACATATTTTTAGACAAATCAAAAATAAAAAGGTTACCCCTGCTTGAAAATTTCATAAAGATTGCAAAAAATAAAGTGCCATAATAACAACAAAAAATAGTAAGTATGGTACACAAATTCATATGCAGATTGCCCTCGTAAGCTTCACACACCAGGTAATAATATCTTTTAGAGGTCAACAGACTATTCTTGGTAAGCTTACTTTAAGGAGTAAAATCTAAACAAAAATATAGCAATAAATTAGAAATAGAACGAAAAATGAAAAATCTTGAAATCATTTAATGTTTATTAAAGAGATTATGTTATTTTCAGGTCTTGGTTCATAAGTAAAATCCAAGGAAATAGCACCATCTATTGAAATTTTTCATACTTGAAAATATTTCCAAATTTTGGAAAATGAGACTAGTACGCAACATTCCCCCTCATTGGGCCAAGAGAATAAATTTAATTATTAAAGAACAAATTCTAAAATAATCAAAAAGCCTTACATTAAAAGCATCAATTATTGGCTTATAATTTTAGTCTCAAATATCTCAGCATTTTGACTAAATTCATAAGATTTTATTAAAATAAAAACATTCTCAACCAATAAGGATATGACATTTTTAGAAACTCACAGATATGGTATTCCTGTATGCTGCTTGTATAACCATATATTGCAGAATATCCAAATACTATGATCATGACAACATCTCTACTGTCCAACTCCATAATGTGTGCTGAATGTCCTTCCACAGCATACTGCTGACCATGTCCAAGAACAGTAGGAGTTTTTGTACTCCATGACTGACTGTGTATGTTAAAAACCCATAATTCATCTGTAACATTGCCATAATTTGTTTCAATTCTGCCTCCATACATGAAGATGTTTTCCTGTAAATTAAACATATATATTAATAAAATACTTATCTCTTAGAAGTACATATTAATTAAAACCTAAGCTATGTTTAAATATTATATTTGATAACTGCTCACATTCATAATACATAGTCCTTATCTCAAAACTTAAAAAGAGAATACACAAAAACTTAACTAACATTTTATGTACAGGAGGACATCCATACCTTCAAAAAGTTACATTAAGATATTTCAAACCACTCTTTAAATTATTCTATATGAAGATGCCACTGAAATAATGTTAAAAGGAAAAATGCAACAAGCTAATTAAAATTTTAAAACAAGGGTATAGTAGGTCTACAAGTAAGGAAATGTACTGTTTCCATACAACAGGAAAGTAACATTCTAAATTGCTGATTAACACTACTCATAGTCTTCAATATTTGAATAATCTGAGCCCGAAGTCATTAGTTGAAGTTTATTGTCTATTTGTACTGCTTTGTGCTATTCTCAATTATTCCTCAAGTATCATTCATCAGACAGACCACATTTGTGCATAATGTGAAATACATTATTTTATTAGTACATGATTACATGATGCTCACATTCATCTTAGGGAGTAGGAACTTGTACTAAGCCTAATTTAATTCTTTTTATTCCCCTTCCTCTCCCCATTCTCTTCTCTCCATCTCTAGATTCCCTCCCTCCCTTTACACTTTTGCAACATATAATGATTACATCTACAGTGGGTAACTGGTACATTTATATGACATATCTTAAATACTTTTATGTCCCCTTCCCCTCTACCCATTCCCTCTTCAGATTCTTGATACCCTTCCCATTTGCAAAAGGTCTATACTCCTGTTTTCCTTTTATCAATCCTTTATTTTCCTCTTTATTTGTACTTTGGGTTGCTCACATCAGAGAAATCATGTCATATCTAAGTTTGTGTATCTGATTTCTTTCATTTAATGTTCTGTTCTCAAGATGCATTTATTTTCCTACAAATGTCTCAAATTTATCATTCTTTATAACCGAGAGGCATTCCGCTGTATGTATAGATGCCACATTTTCTTTATCCATTTGTCTACTGATGGACATACAGGCTGCTTCCAAGATATAGGTATTATGAATCGTACCACTATGAACATTGGTATGCATGTATCACCGCAATATGATGTCTTTAACTCTTTTGGGAAGATAACTAGAAGGGGAATAGGTACCTGGTTCAAATAGAATTTCTATTTTTAGTTTTTTGCGAAATCTCCCCACTGATTTCTATAATGGTTGTACAATCCCACCAGTAATATAAAAGTGCTCCTTTCTCACCACAGTCATGCCAGCATGTATTATTATTTGAGTACTTGATGTTGGCCATTCTTTTTGCAGCAAGATGAAATCTCAATGTTGTTTTAATTTGCATTTTTATAATGGCCAGCAAAGTTGAACAGGTTTTCATGTACTTACTAGCCATTTGTATTTCTTCTTCTGAAATTTATCTATTCATTTCAGTTGCCCATTTCTTGATTGGATCCTTTATTTTGGGAAGTCTAGTTTTACTGAGTTCTTTGTATATTCTAAACATTAGTCCTCTGTCCAAGGTGAAGCTAACAAAAATATTTTTCCCATTCTGTAAGCTGTCTCTTCACTCTGCTGGTTGTTTCCTTTACTGTGCAGAAGCCTTTTAATTTGACATAATCCCATCTGTTGACTCTCATTGGTATTTCTTTTGCAATTGGAGTTCTGTTAGGAAAGTTCTTGCCTATACCGATGACTTTTGGAGTTTTGCTTATTTTATCTACCCATAGGTTAAGTGTTTCTTTTTAAATATTTAAATCTTTGACCCAGTTTGCTTTTACTTTAGTACATGATGAGAGATACAAGTCTAGCTTGAAACTTCTGGATAACCAGTTTTCCCAACACTATTTGCTAAAGAAGCTGTCTTTCCTTCAATATATGTTTTTGGCCCCTTTGTCAAATATCAGGGGGCTAAATATGTCTAGGGTTGTTTCTATATTTTCTATTTCTATCTTCTATTTATAAATGTCTGTTTTTGTGCCAATGACATCCTGTATTTTTTTAATCACTTGAGCACATTATTATCACCATTTCTCATGGTTATGGGAAAATATTCATGTTTATTAAATCTTTACAACACTTATAAATTACACCAAAAAACCACTCTCATGATTGAAATAAATAATATAAATCATCACTCTACAAAGCAGAAATAAAAAAAAAAAGAAAACCTCATCAACCTGATAAAGGACACCTAGAACCAGAAGTTCTAATAAGGCAAATAGACAAAAACTAACAAAGGCATTCAGACTGAACCTAGAATGGGAGAAATAAAATTCATATTTGCAAATGATATGAATATATATTCAGTATTGTAAGAAATTTAAAAAGCACTAACAAACAAGTCCACCTCTATTACGGGATCAGTGTAAAACAATCATATTTCTATACATTTGCAATGAACAATCTAAAAATAAAATTATGAAAGAAATTCTACTGACAACAGCATCAAAAGGAAAAAAATAAGAATAAAGTTAAAAGAAGTTCGAAACTTTAAAAGTTATACAAAATTGTTCTACGAAATTTTAAACCATCAAAATAAATGAAAAAATATTCCATGTTTAAGGGTCAGAAGACTTAACATTAAGATGGCAATATTCTGGGGCCGGGGATTTAGCTCAGTTGCGCCAATGCCTGCCTCAGAAGTGCAAGGTCCCGAGTTCGATCCCCAGTACAAAAAAAAAAAAAAAAAAAAAAAAAAGAAGAAGATGGCAATATTCTCTAAATCTATCTACAGATTCAACACAATCGCTATGAAGAGTCCCAGTTGCCTTCTTCATAGAAATTGACAAACTGATTCTAAAATCCATGTGGAATATCAAAAGATGAATAACATAAAGATAACCCTGTAAAAGAACAAAACTGGAAGACTCACACTTCTTGAAAACTACCACAAAGCAAAACTAATCAAGATAGTATAGTAAAAACACAAATCAGTGGAACAAAAGTAACAGTCCAGAAATAAACCAATATATTTATGGCTGACTATTTTTGACAGGAGTGCCAAGACCATGCAAACTGTAAAGAATTACCTCTTAAACAAATGATACTGAGAAAGCTGGACAGCAGCATGCAAAAGAATGAAGCTCACCCTTATTACACTTCATAAACAAACAACTCAAAATACATGAAATAAGAAGAAAGGGACTAAAGGTGTAGGGAAAGTGGGAAGGGTGGGGGAAAGGTAATAAGGGAAAAGAAAAAAATATGAGAAAATGAAGAAATGGAAATGAAGTGTTTGCAAAGGGGAAGAAGAGGAGGGGGTGAAGGGAGGGCAGGGACAAGGGGAAAAAATGAGAACCAAGACCTGTCGTGTAAAGGTACGAGATCCCAACGATGACTGTAACTGTACTGTATACCTAAAATGTACCAATAAACTCAAAAAAATAAAATAAAATAAAACATAAAACTAAAAGATAAGAAACATATGCATATTTACTAATCACTAATATATATAAAAATATTTTTATTTTTAAACATAAACACATAGTTTGTTCTTTACACTAGTTATTTTCCAAATTTTTTGCTTATACACAGAAAATACACAAATTCTGACTTGAAAGGCTTAACCACAGACCACAAAACACATGAATCTATTGATTCAATATAAAAGATAGTGAAGTGACCGACCTATCATTTTAATCATGCTAAATGCATAAATCCCATAAACACATAAAAATAAATGATCCCAGTATAACCTCTGTCAAAACAAGTAATATTTTTTACAGAAATAGAAAACCTTCCTAAAATTCACATGAAATGTTGAGGGACTTGAACAGCCAAAATAGCCTTGGGGCGGGGGGAAGCTGGAAGTCTCACACTTTCTGACTTCAAAACTTACTATAGAACTACAGTAATCAAAAGAGTGTGATACTCCCACAAAGACAAATATAAGTCAACAGAAGAGAATATAGAAACCAGAAATAAACCTTCATGTAAACATCAGATGATTTCTTTTGAGCAGAATGCCAAGAACATTCATTCAACAGGATGCACAAGACACTGGATTCAATCCACAGCACCACACACATACACACAAAAATTATAATTAGAAAGAGAAAAAAGTACATTTTTTGCAAAGTAAAGAGAAATGTTTGTAAATTATATATCTGACAAAGAGGCTAATATTAAGAAATGCAGCTTAATAAAAATATAAGCTAATTCAAAAATGGCAAAAGGCTTGAAGAGCTATTTCTCAAAAGAAGATATACTAATGGCCAATAAGTACTTAAAACTATATAACACTAATCATTAAATTCAAATACAAAAATCACAAAAGGGTACTACTTCACATGCATTAAACCTATTGCTGAAAAGTCAAAACACAAGTGCTGGCAAGGCTGTGAACAAACTGGAACCCATGTGTGCTGCTGGCAGGGATATAAAATAGTGCAGCCATTGTGGAAAAAAGTATCGAAGGTCTTCAAAACATTAACAATCTACATATGATCCAGCAATTCAGCTCCTGAATATACACCCAAAAGAACTGAAAGAATCAAACCAATAGTTATACACAATTATACACACACGTTCATAGAAACATTATTTACAATGGCCAAAAGTGGATGCAATTTAAGTGTCCATCAACAAATGGATGGATACGCAAAAATGGTATATACATACAATGGAATATTATTCACCCTCAAAAAGGAAGGGAATTCTTGACACATACTACAGTCAGGATGAATCTTGAAACCTTTATACTAAGGGAAACAAGCCAGTCACAAAGACAAATACTGCAGGATTCCATCTAAGTGATGTACCTACAGTAGTCAAAGTCACAGACAGAAAGCAGATTGATAGTTTCCAAGGACTAAGGAAAGGAAAAATGAAAATTCTGCTTTAGTTTTGCAAGATGAAAATAGTTCTGGAAATGATGATGATGGCTGCACAATGTGAATGCCAGTGAACTGTACACTTAAAAATAGTTAAAATAGTAAATTCTATGTGATGTGTAATTAACATAATGTAAAAAAAAAAAGTAACTAATGACTAGGTATAAAGCCACTGACAAAAAGTCACACTTTCTTTCTTTCTATGTCTAAAGGGCAATTGTACTACAACGCACTAAATGCACTCTTGATAAAACAGCCCATGATATCTCAAGTTATTGTGATTTGTAATTATTTATGTTCTCATTAAGTGTTTAACGAAATCTGAGATTTAGTAATTTCCCTCTAAGGTAAACTCTTTTTAAACAACTGATGAAAATTATAAAAGCAAAAGTCATACCTGATACAAAGCAAGAGAATGTCCATATCTTTGGAGAGGTCCTCTCAATAGAGTTCCTACATTCCATATACTGCTTTCTAAATTATAACTAAAAGCAAGAAAAGAACTTTATAAGCTAAGATTTATTTCTTAATTTCATATGCTTTTTTCTTGTATACATATTCTCATTAAATTTTTTAAAAATTATAACTAATAAATTAATTTCATGTATAATATTAGAAAGTTTTATGGAGCATTCAGTCTCGTACCATCTCAAATTTAGGATTCAATTGCTTATGTGGATAATATACATGAACCGGGGCAGGATATTAGTACTAGAATTAATTTGCTTAATTGCCTTTAATTAACTAGTTAACCTAAAAAATAGTGAGCTCTTCTGCATTTTTTAAGTTTTAAAAAAAGCTTTTCTTGAAAATGAATGAAAATTCTCTCCATCTTTACAATAACCATTTGCTTTAAGTATTCATGTTTCTTCTTCACACAATTAGTTTAGCATTATATAAACTAACCATTTCCTGTAAAACTTTGACTTATTTACTGATAATTTTTAAATTATGCAAAATAAGCCCAATAGTATAAAAATAAGTTATTCTTGTATTATGGATGCAAAAATAAATAATCTTTCTACTGATCTATTACATATGAAAAGAAAAGTTCTGAAACATGGATCTCAAGTTTAACTAGTAGCATCCCAGCTGTTCGCTATACCCCCAAATCATAATTTGCTCAAACATATGAGAGTACAAAACCAGGCAAGAAATAAGAGTACTAACACAAAAGTATAAATGAGGAGAAAAATAGTGTATAGATATTTGTTCAAATGGGAAGAAGAATAAGAGATGGGGGAGTGAGGAGGGAAGGAAAAGAAAAGAGATTTAAAGAAAAAAAGAATTGAAAGACAAAAATGGAAATAGAGCTGTTGTATCTGGGTAGGGAACGAAGATTTGGAGGGAGAGGAGGAGGGGATTTAAAAAAATTAAGATGTGTTATGTACACACACAAATTGCCAATGATGAGGGTGATCACTGTGTACTGCAAACATGTACTAATTTTTTAAAAAAGCTTTTAATTAAAAAAAATACAGAAGTATTTTAAGAAGCTCACTGTTAGTTGTCCTATTTCTCTTTCTTCCTCTAACTCATTAGGAAAGGCAAGAAACTGCCCCTTCATAAGACATGAGAGTTACCAAAATGGTTTTCAGCATCATTTAACATTTCCTAGCTTAGAGTTACAAGACAGGTATGTATGATACAAATGACAAAATATAGTCAGAATATAACTTCCACAGACTCACACCACTAAATCTACCTACCTCCCAGGTGTCTGCAGCCAACATAATACTTTCCACCAAGTTACCATAAACTAGGACTCAGTACACTATTTCTGTAAAGGGCCAGACAGGAAATACTGTAGGCTTCGCCAGCCATATTGATTTCAGTCTTCCTCTTTATTTGTTTTATAACTCATTAAAAAATGCAAACAAAAAAATTCTTAGTTCTCAGAACCTGGGCCCAACTCTAGTTTGCTGATGACCACTATACATAGCCTTCGTACATTAGATCGCACAGCACTCCAGTAGTCCTGCTGTCTCTCTCCTACATCACCATTTTTTGTCTTACCAGGTAACTGTCATTAGCATGAAAACATGGTGTTATTTTCCCCGTTCATATTTTTAAAAAACTTTTGACCTCACTCCACCTTCAAGCTACTGCCCTGCTTCTTTACTGCCCCATTACTTTATAGTCCCCATCCATGCCAATCTTTCCATCATCTTAAACTAACTCTAGTCAGGCCTTTAACCCTACCACTACAGTAAACTTGATTTTGTTAAACTCATCTTCCTCATATTAAATCCATGGCCATTTTTTGGTCTTCATTTCCTTGACACAGTTAATCAACAGCATTTAGTGTTGTGAGTAACCTTTTAATACTCATATATTCTCTTCCCTTGCCTGTGAGACACTGCATGCTTTTAGTTTTCCTACCTCACTGGTCACTCCTTCTCAGTCCTTTGCTACTTTCTCCTCTTCCACCCAACTTCCTAGTGACACAGTGTCTCAGTTTCAGTTCCTGGTCTTCTCTATCCAAAACTCATTCTAACTCAATCACTGTTTCCATCCTTCCTCCCAATCCAATATATTCTCAACAGCATGGCCACAGTGACTCTTTTGAAGTATTAGTCAAAGCATTTTCAAAACCCTCCCTGACTCAAAAGATCTGTAACATCCTACATGATCTGTCTTCCTCCTCTGTTATCCCTCTGATTTCATGCTTCCCTTTTATATGTCTATATACACACATGGCCTCCTTGTTGCTACTTGAATACCTTACCCTGAGGCACTGTTCTAGCTCCTTTCTGTACCTACAGATTACTGCAGTGCCAATGCCCTGACCTCCTTCAAGTTTCTGCTTACTCTTTACCTTTCTCATATACAGTCCTACTTTGTCGATTACATTCATAACTGTGACCCTCTTCTTTTAACTTTTATTTATACATTCCTGCTATTTACCTGCCTATGTATTTACCTATGTATGTATGTGTGCATATATATAAATTACTTTGGTAAGCATATTTATTTTTTCATTGTCGGTTTTTCTTCACTAACTTTACAACAACAAGGAAATCTGTTACATTCACTGATATATTCCAGGTACAAAGCATATTCTAAGTGTTTAAGCCAGGCATGGTGGCACACACCTGCAATCCCAGCCCTTGAGATGCCAAGGCAGGAGGATCACTGTAAGTTCAAGGCCCACCTGGACTACATAGTGAGTTCAACGCCAGCCAGAACTACATAGTGAGATCTTTTCTCAAAAAAATAAAATAAAATAAATAAACAAATAAATATATAATAGTAAATGTTTAAAACAATCATGCCCATGTTGAATGTTAATTTTTACTAATGTTAATGCACATACATTCTGCAAAATAATTCTCTAACTTAAGCAACAATAATAAAGAAAATGTCTGTATTATTTACTGAACGATTACCTTGAAGTGTAACACCTACACCCCAACTAAATTTGACTTTAGGGCTGGAGATGTAACTTGGTGGCAGAGTGTGTGGCTAGCATATATGGGCCCTTCAAAAATAAATGCTACTCAAGGACCTGAGTTTGATCTCCGCTATCAAAAATAAATAAATAAATAGTGCTACTCTAGAAGATGAATAAAGTGATTATTGATATTATCATTTGTAAAAGCTGTTTAAATATCCTTACTTACATTTGAACTACATTCAGAATGATGAAAAAATTCTCTAATCTGAGAAAACAACAAATTTACTTCTAATCTGATGGCTCATAGTTTATATTGATATAATCTTAGAAATATGAGTATAAATATGTACTTGATATTTTCTAATATGTCATTATCTAATTACCTAATACATATATTATTTTTCTATAAATTAAAAGCTTGATTTGCAAAAAAAAAGTAATTTATATTTACAATTACACCTCATTTTGAAAATGTAAAAGGTGGCAGGATTTCTTACGCCAAACATAGGTATGAACACAGGACTTTATGTAAAGTTAATACTTTCTTACTCAGAATTTATTTATTAAAGCATCATGGAGTGGTAATAAAATTTCTACCCAAAACAAATGTATATACAATGACAAATAATTGATCATAGACAAATTGAGTAGATATTCCCAAATCAATCCCATTTAGCAAACAGATATACCATAAAAATAACAACTTTTTAATAACAAAGAAGTTGAATTCTAAAAACATAGGATATGAAGATATGAAAATAATGACTTACTTCAGGACCATTTGAAAAGTACTGTAGTTAAAAGTATATCCACCAATCACCCACATAAATTTCCCATGTAAAACTGCTTTGTGTGAAGCTCGACCTACTGAAGGACTGAAGGGCTTAACATTCGGCAGAATCCAGTAAGACTCGGTAGATGGAACATTCAAAGAGCAGTCAGGACCTATTAAAAAAGTAAACAACATACTGGATTAAACAAAACCCTTAGATATAGAAACAAACTGTGTGGACTCAAAAACTTAAGAATCTAATGTTCATCTTATTAGTAAATGTAACATAAATAATAAACAGTCTGAAATGTAACTTGCAAGAAAATAGTACATACAATGCCAGGGCAGGGCAATCATCAGTCATGAATAAGTAACACAATTTTAAAAACTGCTTAAATAATATAAAATTTCTGATAAACTCTAGTATCCTACCAGCATATTAAAATTGAAAACAATGTATTCAAGTTCCAGTTCTGTCGCTTACTAGCAAATGTGACCTTGAGTAAATCTGTTTATCTCTCCCATCATCAAGCCTTCATGTATAAAGTGGAAATAATTGATTTCTGGGGGTTGTTATAAATTTTTTAAAACTTTTTAAAACCATAGAGGGCTCTGAATGTGGCTCAATGGTAAAGAACTTGCCTAGCACATATGAGGATGTACGTCTGATCACCAACATCACAAACAAAACAAAAAACAGTAGAAATAAAAGCATTTGCAAATTGTAAGCTATTACACAAATATAGAAGTAATGATTACATTTTTGTTAATATCATTATGAAGGACGACCAAAACGGGCTGCAGTAAGAAGCCTTACATATTTTTTAATGAATTTATATATAATGAAAGAAAAGTCAATTAGTCCAGAAAAATTTCAAAACTATGAAGTTCAAACCACAGCTTTATCTGTGCTCATAATGCTACTCATGAGACTTGCTTTCCTCATCTATAAGATGTCAATCAGCCTAGATCAGTGCTTCTCAAACATAAGTACAGGAAGAATATTTCTAAGGGTAAACATTTTTTTCAACAAATGTGAGGGCTCACAAATTATTTCAATGCTGATAAAACTAAAATATGCTCAAAGAGCAGACATGCTATGCCTCTTCATGCTTAAAGCTCTCCTACAAGTATAAAAATCAACATAACTTTGTAAATTATCCACAAACATAAATCTAACAAAATTAACACAGGTATACTTTGTTTTACTGCACTTCATTTTACTGCACTTCACAAATACTGCTTTTTTTTTTTTTTCTTTTTTACAAACTGAAGATCAGCACTCTGAATGAAGTAAGTCTGTGTCAGTAGCATTTTTCAACTCCATGTGATCCTCTCATGTCTGTTTCTCATTCTGGTAATACTTGCAATATTTCAAACTTTTTCACTATTATTATCACTTTTTTATGGTAATCTGTATTCAGTGATGTTTAATATTTCTATTATATGTAATTGTTTGGGGCACCATACACCACACCCATACTGATCAGCAAACTTAACTGAGAAGTGTTGTGTGAGGTCTAAAGGTTCTACCAACCACCATTACTCTATCTCACTCCCTCTCCTTAGGCACCTCTACTCCCTGAGACACACAATATCAAAATTAAGCCAATCAGTAACCCTAGGATGGTCTGTTAAATGTTCAAATGAAAGGAATGTCTCTCATTTTAAAGCAAAAGCTAGAATTGATTGACTTGAGAAAGGCTTGTCAAAGCCAGGATGGGCTGAAAGCTAAACTTGTGGAAGACTCAAGTTGTGAATACAAAGGAAAAACTTCTTGAAAATTAAAGGAAAAGTAAAACTACTACTTGAGAGAATACACAAATGATAAGAAAATAAAATAGCCTTGTTGCTGATATGGATAAAATTTTAGAGGCTTGAACAGAATATGAAATAATGCTCAACATTCCTTTAAACCAAAATTAGTCCAGAACAAGACCTTAACTCTATTCAACTCATACTGAGTGGTATGGAATCCTATTGTGTCTGTGCTTTCACAGATGCTATGGAAGTCATTACATCTACACTAGCTGAAAATGCTGGCCTGAATCCCATTTCTAGAGTAACAGAACTAAGAAACCGGCATGCCCAAGGAGAAAAAACTAAAGGCATTAATGTCCTAAAGGGTCATATTTCCAACATTGTGGAGGAAATGGTTGTCCAGCCTTTGTTGGTTTCAGTCAGTGCTCTGACCCTAGAAACTGAAACTGTACAGAGCATTTTGAAAATTGATGATGTGGCAAACACTCAGTAATCTGAATACAGTGGCTGACTGGCAGCATTATACTACCAGTACTACAACCCAAGTAGAAGATCTCCATGCTATTCGTTGTTGTTCAGAGATTGTTTCCTCTATGAATTCCTGGACTTGGTCTTCCAGTTGGTATTTGCTTGAAATTGTAATGGAACAACTAAATATTATATCTCTGACTTCAAAATGTTGTTTATCCCCCAGCACTGTATTTGTGATACTTTTGAGACCCTGTACAAGAAACACTATACTCAAAGACTGAAAAAAAAAATTAGAAGTGTGGAAGATGCAGAGAAAAGACTGCAGCTAGGTGAGGATGGCACAATGAAGTTTAAGGAAAGAAACCATCACTGTAAAGTAACAGTGTAAGTAGTAGCAAGTACTGATGTAGAAGCTGGTAAATTCATTGATGTGGGTGACAACAGCAAACAGGTTTTCAGTGTAGATCTAATAGCCTTATACAGGAAGATGTCATCTCAAAAGGAGAGAAATCATTATCTAGCTTCAAAACCTCAAAGGATAGGTTGACTCTCTCATTAGCGGGTAATGCAGCTGTTGATTTGAAGTTTGAGCTCATTTATCTATCATTTCAAAAATCCTACAGCCCTGAAAAATTTTTCATTTAAAAAATCCTAGGGCCTTGAAGAATTACTCTACAATACTCTGCCTGCACTTTATAAATGGAAAAATGAAGACTGAATAACAGCACACTAGTTTACAATATGGTTTGCTGGATATTTTAGGCCCAAGGTTGAGATCTACTGTTCAGAGAGAAAGGTTCTTTTCAAAATATCTGCCCTTTCTGAAAATATACTTAGTCATCCAAGAACTCTGATGGATATATACAAAATCAATGTTGTTTTCAGGCCTGCTAATATAATAGTCATTCTGTAGCCCAAGATCCAGGACTAATTTCAACTTAGAGTCTTATTCTCAAATAAATGTATTTTATAAGGTTATAGCTGCTATCAATAGTAATTCCTCTCATTGATCTGGGCAAAGTAAATAGGAAACTTTCTGGAAAGGATTTCCCACTCAAAATGACATCAGGAACATTTGCAATTTATGGAGAGGTCAAACTATTAACATTTTTTAAAGGTTGGAAAAAAATTTTTAAACTTAAGTTTGGAAAAAGTTGATTTCAACCCTCATGGATGATTTTGAGAGGTTAAAGACTTCATACAGTACATAATGCAAATGTGGTAGAAATGAAAAGAGAACTGGAATTCGAAGTGCAGCCTGAAGACATAACCTGAATTGCTGAGATCTCATAAAACTCAGAGGGACTGCTTCTTATTGATGAGCAAAGAAAAAGAAATTGTGGGGGCAGTGGGATTGAACCCAGTGCCTTTGCACTGAACTACATCCCCCACCCGCTTTTCTCACACAGGGTCTTGCTAAATTCCTCAATTGCCCAAGCTGGGCTCGAACTTTCAATTCTTGCCTCAGCCTCCCTGAAAGCCAGGATTACAGGCATATACTATGGCACCCAGGCAAAAAATGATTTCTTGGCATGGAATATACTCTTGCTAAAGACGCTGTAAACATTGCTGAAATTAGAATATTACATGAACTTAGTTGATAAAGTAGTGCCAGAATTTGAGAGAACTGACATCAATTTAAGTTCTGCTGTGGATAAATGCTATTAAACAATATCACAAAAGAACAATCTCTCATGAAAGGAAGAGTCAATCAATATGGCAAATTCACTGATGTCTTAAGAATTTGCCACACTCACCTCCACCTTCAGTAATACCACTCTGATGAGTCAGCAACCATCAACATCAAGGCAAGACCCTCTACCAGAAAAAAAGATTACAACTCTCTAAAGGTTCACATGATTGGGAGCATTTTTTACCAATAAAGTATTTTTAATTAAGGTAATTACATTTTTAGACATAATGCTACTGTACATTTAACAGACTATATATAATCATAACTTTTAAGTACACTGGAAAATCAAAGCTTTAGTGTGACTCACTTTATTATAATATTTACTTTACTGTATAGTCTAGGACTGAACCTGCAATAACTTCAAGGCACATCCATTTAATAAGATGTCTGATTTTTGTTCCATCTAGATAACTGGCCAAAGTTAAAAGTAAAACTAATCCTGTTACAATGGCTTTTCTTTACAAAAGTTTAGCAAATCTGTATTATTTTGACAACATAATTCTCCTTATTTTTCCTCTACTTCTTATGGGCATTTGAATTCATACAATATGGCATATCATTAGTTATCTCTCATTTGTTACAAAAGTATTACAATACTTTAGTTGTACTCTTTTTTGCCTACATAATAAAAGAGATACTTCTTGATCCCAACCTAATAGCTAATACAGATGCATTGCAATCAAATAGCAGGTGAAACATGTTTGATTATCATTGAATCATCAAACTTCCAACCCTAACCCAATAGAGAAACATTTGGTCATACAGTTTTCACATTCATTCATTCACTAACCCATGTATTCACTCATTTGTTCATCTTCAAGATTGTTTCCAATGCCTACATTATATGGGTCTGTATTTTTTAGGTAAGAAATAGAAAGCATCTTAGATTAAATCTTTAATGATAAGATAAATCATTTGAAATCAGATATGGAAGGCTCTGATTTGAGTAAATACTAAAAAATATTCCTTGGTGAAGGAAATCTATTTCTTTAAAAAAGAAAGCTTTAACTATAATTCTAAATCATTTAGAAATCATTTTACTCTAACTCTAGCTCACTGCCTGTCTTTGGAAATAATTTCATTGAAACACAGCCATTCACATTCAGGTAAGTATTGTCTATGGCTGCTTTGCACTAGAACAGCAGAAGTGGGTAGCCACAACAGAGACCACACGGCATTTAAAGTAAAAAATACTAACCAGTCCAATATGAAACAATTCACCAACATCTAACTGAAGAAAAACTAGAT